GCTCAGACTCACCTCAGATGTGGGGTCGACAAACTTGGAAGGAAGCTGTGGATGCAAAAGGCGGATGGATCAGCTGGAAGGTAAATGCGAGTGTGGATCGGGGTGTGCGGACGTGAGAGCAAGGGAGGGAAAGAGGGCGATGGATGTGCGAGGGCGTTGTGTGGATTCCAAGCTGTGAGCCAAAGTGCCTGAGAAGAGGAAAGGCGAGGTGCAGTGCGCACTACCGCGGCCGTCAGGGGCAGATGATGAGCCCCTACGATCAGATTGATTGATTGATTGATCAAAAGGGAATGTTCTCCTTTTTTTTTTCCTTTTTTGATCGGCACATCAGAGACTCAAAACGCTGCTTCAAGACACGGCACTGCTCCCATCACTGTACCCCAACGCCCTGTGTGATGCGCTCACACGCCCTGGCTTTGATGCTTGCGCCCTGACGCATCAATCCTCACACGGGATCAACCGCCCCCCATAGCACCGCGACCCGAATTGAGAGAGAGAGAGAGAGAGAGAGACGTGCACTTGAAGCGAGGAAACGAGCAGAGAGAGTATGAGAAGCAGATCGGAACGTTGGCAACAACAGAGGAAATAGCAAGGTAATCCAGAGAGAGGGGCCGAAGATTGAATTGAAAACAGAGAGGCAAAGAGCAAGAACACCAGACAGTAACGGTTCCCATTGTCAGCATGCTGATAATAAAATGTCAGACTTGTGTTGTCAGCAAGTCTGCCGCGCCCGATTTAGAAGATGGTTTGTTCTATTAATATAGGACCGATGTTGCAGGTCAGTTACTCGCCTCGGAACGACTGGACGCACACATGCACCTCTACTGTCAAGGGTCAACGCAAGCCAAATACACCTTCGAGAATCTGCTTGCAAAGGCCTCTCTCTCTCAAAAGCGCTTTTCCATTGCATCCTTGACGCCACAAACCGTCTCTCTCTCTGCTCTCTCTCTCTCTCCCTCTCTCACGGAGCGGGGTTATGGGCGCCAAAGTTGGGGTTCTGCGTTTTGACTGAACTGTGACCGTGTGAGCAAGCGACTCGCGCCTCCACCCCCTCCTCATCGTCACATCGTCGGCGTCGACCCGAGCTCGAGTTTTTGGCATTTTATTTCTTCTTTCAATACACTTGTTGGAACCAGCCAGAGTGTAGATGAGCTCTGGTTGACCGCGCGACTGCGACCGCGTTGCGCGTGTGACCGACGCCATGGCGCAGGAAGATGAAGACATTCTTGACGGCCTCGATGAGGCGTTGGGGGAGATGGAGCTGCAAATGCCAACCGTGGATCGCGATGCCCTCACCAAGGTCCGGCTCCCATGTCCTGCTTCCATGTCGGCCCCTCGCCCTCTCGTTTCTGCCTTCACCCCTCCCCTGCCACCCTTCTTATCACCGCCTGCGTGCGTGCTTCCATCCTTCCTGACTTGGTCTTAGCATTCGCTGGTCACTCTCTCCGAGCCCGAGGGCAAGGCCCTGCGGGCCCTCCTCGACTCCCTCTTGGTCGAAGGCAACGGTGAAGCTGTCTACACGATTGGCACAGCCGGTCAGTCCCCGCTCGTGCTCTGCTCGTGTTCTGGAGCAACCCGACACGACACGAGACCGCAAATGCTTCAGACTCAAAAGCCGCCCGCCCTGCCTGCTAGTAGAACAAGAAGCTCCCGGCCTGGCCGAGGAGGAGCTGGCGCAGGCCCGCGACAACTTGGAAAAGCTCTGCAGCAAACTCAATGCGGAAGTCTCCGAGGTGCGCCGTCGCCATGAGGAACAAGGCTGGGTGCAAGAGGTCCTCATTCGTCGACGCTGCGAGGGCGCTGATTTCATCGAAGTTCGCGTCGCCGTCGTGGGAAACGTCGATGCGGGCAAGAGGTGTGTCACCACCAACGGGCAGCAGGCAGTACATGTTGCTGTTGTTGATTTTCATTTCCTTGTC